CTGCTGAAATAGGAATCTTTTCTGGCAGCCATCACTTGTTAGCTACATTAGCCTTGTAGTCCATTATTGTTGCATTAACTAACGTATCATTTCCGGTTCTTTTACCCTATTTTCATTCAGCCTAAAGAGTACGGTGCTGTGTGAAGAGGCAGAGAACACACTTCTGCAGATTTTAAGGCACAATTTCTGTTTACTTGCTGGATGAGTTTAACATATTGGGGAAAAAATAAAACATTAAATGTGGCCTGTGCAAAAGCTTTATATTTTATGTTTTATTTTTCCCAGTTCTCGACAAATAACTAGAAAATGTGCACTAAAATGTGCAGAACAAAGCACAATATGTAAGTTTATTCCCTGTAGAGAACGTAAACTTATTTTCACCTAGCAAATCAACAAAACATGTATTTTGACAGATGTTCAAACCTTTGCATACGACTGTATGTTCTAAAAAAAACCCAACAATATTTGCATACTACATTAAACTCTTATGGCAAAAGAAGCAAGGAAAAAGGGTTTTCACACGATATGGACCCTTTGCTAAGACGGATAACCCACCGGATGATGGACCTGCCTTAAAAGCTGAGGCTGCTCACGAACTTCCACAAAGCAACCAAACTAAACATTGCGCCCAAGGGCCAGCAGGAAAAATCAAAGGCGCGCTGCACTAACATAGTGTGGGAAATCCCAGAATCAGAATGTCTTTGAAAGCTCCTGTCTGCAGACATTTCTGGGTCACTTTCTCTTATACCCCCTTTTTCACCCTCCCTCGCACAACATCGTGCACTCTGCCGCTGGCCGGCCGGCCGGCCCGTTCATCTCCCCCTCCTGACGCAACCCTCCGGGGAGTCAATTTGTGTGCACTGCTTGAAAGAAATCAGTGCGTGGAGCGGGTGGGGTTTAGGGAGCGGGGGGTGGAGGTGGGTTGTAGAAGGGTTGAGATTATTCCTGTCTTGTTTTCGTTTTCATTGCCTGCTGCTTCTTGAGCTTCACTGGCTTGTCTGTGTCCCGCTTTTTGTCTGGAGGATTCCAAACGAGCGCGATTCTACTGAAGAGAGAGACGTTCACAGAGTGGGCACATTAAAGCAGCCGGAGACCCAAGCAGGCAGAACAGGCAGTCTGTTCTACATGTCTGTGAGGAATATGTCGGGTTCGGCTTGTCAGCTGTTGCCCTCACATGTGAGTCGCTAAAACGGAGACAGTTGGGGTTTGGTGTCTCACAGCTGCAGTGTGGCTCTCGACAGCTCTGACTTCTGAGGGGACGTCCGCTGGGAAATATGATTGATTGCATGGAGGTTGTAGTCACCCTTCTGTCACTGACGATTTTTTAATAAGCTGCCTGAGTAGTTTATTGGACCAGTTATGGAGACATACGCTTTGCAATATGACAGTGATACAGTGATAAAAAAAACTCATAAATTTGATTAAAACCACAATCAGGGATTACAGGACAGCACAGCTGTGGTAACACCAGCACTGAGTTTTCTAAAACAGTTAAGAATTGCTGTTTACAGAAGTCAATTTACATATGAAGAGAATTTCTTGGTTAAAAAAATAAAATTTACACAATTTTCCATTTACCCCAGACGTAGTAGATCAGCCGATGTATTTAGATAAAAGATTTGGTTGACCGTTGACCTCTAGTGTTTGTAAGCCTCTTGGTGGATTGGTTAAACATCAGTTTGATGTTTATCCAAAATATTTCTTTAAAGCTTTATGATCAAAATGCTTGTTTATATTTTTTCTTTGTAAACACGACTCAGAAAGACTCATATTTGGGACTTACAGTGGTGTTTCTCATCAAAAACGGTGTGAAGAATCGGTGCGGATATATCAGCCTATGTAATTTGAGGCAAAGAAAACAGCTTTGTAATAGGACTGAAAGAAAAGTTGTTTTTATATCGAAATCACAATTCGTCTTAAGTTTTAAGAAGGGAAACTTCATAACACAGAGCTTCTGAACTGCCTGGAGACAAATGAGAACAATCAGAGGCAACCAAACCTCCATGTGTTGTGACATCACAACCACAGCTTACTGACAGTCTGGCAGACTGCATTCAGGGGGTGAAGCCTCAAACCAGGAAAGGTCAATATTCTGGTCTTCACAACAAAAAAAGGCCTGAACCTTAATTTATAGAATTTAATCACAAAAAAAGTCGCAGTTGCAAAATCAGTCAGAAAAATTGCAGTTAGAGTTTTCCCCCAAATCGTTCAGCCCTACTTTGTAAGTCCATGATTGTGGCTTAAGCAAGCTGATTGTTTCCTGCTCCTTTTTCCCATTTCCATTCACCTTAAAGAGCATGGTGCTGTGTTGTTCTACTGAAGAGGCAGTTACTTTCACATGCATCACTACTCATATTTCTATGCTTAATGAGGGAATTATGACCTCTGGTTGGCCCTTTGCCAGAACCAAAAGCTGCTTTACACATTGATGTTACTGGAAATCAGTCACAAAAATCATAGAACAGTGCATGCCATGTGCCCAGACCTACTGTAAGTTATCAATATGATAAATAATTTGTATAATGTTTGGTTTGGAAGTTCTATTTTTGTTTAAATCAATCAAGCCTGAATTAAATCAATTTAAATTGAAGTCTGCTTTTATAACGTACAGAGGTGGAGAGGCACAGGCAACTCTTCAGCGCCATGGTATAATTTAGACAAGTGTTTTTCACTCCCACAGCACAGCACTAGAATGTCTGGGTAGTGATGCACCTGTATCCAATATTTTTCATGCACATATCTGCTGATGCTGATACCATTGCCGATACATAAACATGTCTGAAATGGAGAAACTATCCTGGTTAGCATTATTGAAAAATATAATGTGTTTCTGTAAAGCTACAAATGCAGTAAAATGATCAAAATGCAGACATTTTAGAGGAGTAACACAGCATTACCTAAACATTCTGCTGTTCAGGAGTTCAGTAAATACATCATCAAATATTGGTTTGAAATATCATTTAAAACTGAACATCTTGCCAATGTCAGACTGTTTTTCAAATATCTGCTGAAAATGTTATCATTCCGATATCTTATCATTGCGTCTGTGTTTATTCTTACTTAAAAAAAGAGTGGGGGAGGGGTGGGGGTGCAAAGGGACGCTATCCCCCAACTAAAAGTAAAAAGACAAAAAACACCCCACCCCCTTGTAAAACTGCCATCCCTCTTTCCATCCCATTTGAATTAATATGATTGCCTTTGAGATTGTCACAAACTGTTTATATTAATAGTCGGCTGCAGCAAAACTCCCGAAAGGGTTCTATTATGCTATTAAAAACACATTGTCTTGGCAATCTAATCACACCATAAGAAGAACGATAGCTGGAAAGGTGTTTTCCCCATGCTAAAAAAGATAAAGTACACCAAACCACTACCGCACCAAGCCAATTACAATTTGGCCACTGATAATACACCTTCAGCTCATCAGCTAATTATCAAGGCCTTCGTGCGTTAAATTAGGTGTTTTGGTGCAGGAAACACAGTAAACCATGCAGCGTTATGGCCCTCCAGGGCTAGACATGAAGAACACTGGTTTAGACGTATGACGATTCGCTTTGTAGCAGCGTCTATTAGCATTCTCTAGCCTCCAGCTCCCCTCCTCTCACTTTCTGTCAGTTCAGTTTAACTCATTAGCGAAAAAGTGGGAGTTGCTAAGTGTGTGTGCATGGTGCCACAGTGTTTTGTTGAAGAAGATCAAGTTCATCATCAGAGATTAACACTTCAACCTAAGCTATGCGTTCATCACAATACAAAAATGTAAATTTTCTATTTATGCAAATGTATTTTTAGTCAGTAAGACAGCTTATCTTATGCTTAGCTTATGATGAAGGATTCAGTTAATCAATATTTTCTGAGCAACATTTAACACAATATATTTGTTTTGCCTCTCATATCCATATGAAAGCAGTCTTTGGGTCAGGTGGGAGCTGATCCTTGGTTAGCATTGACACCATTGTTTGATAAATTTGTGCAGTTAGATGTTGCACACTTAAACACACTTTTGAGCTTTGTGATGCCCGGGCCCTGAGGTTATTTTGTGTTGTGGAGATTTAGAGTGAAATAAAGTGCTTTGAAATCATTTTTACAGCATCCGTGCTCACTCTGCGTCCGCCACTTTATAGTTATAGGCCCTGGGAGAGCCGTTAGACTCAGCGGTTACAAGATCACGCAGTTCTTGCAGGCTCGCTTACATTTCGCGAGAGTATTGAGATAGACGACTCTGAGAGACTCAGGCTTTGATGTGTGGTTCCTTTTATCTGCCTCTCTCTCAGTGAGCCTTGGCAGGTGTATTTTTGCATGCGAGCGGCCACAATGCAGTACACTCACAAACGATTGCACTCGCTTTGACCAACATGAAAGATAGCTGAATAATAAATTATCACTCTAAGAGATCCTTCCGCCCTCTGCCAGATTTGGAAAGTAGATAGAAAGCCGAATAAAGCTAGATATGTCACTGCAATTTTTATGCATTTTAGATATGTCACAGTTGTTCCTGTTTGTAACCTTAAAGAGAGGAGACCTGTCAGTCCTTGAGTCCTTTTAATTTGAGAAACCTCATTTTTTTTTATACATTTCTATTGTAAATTTCTGTTCTTCATACATTTCTATCGGAAAAAAGTTGGAAGCCTGTCAGTATCAGCAGATGTTTAGACTTGACCGTTATTTCATGATTCATTTTTCTGTATTTGCAACCTAATAGTTGTAAGTGTTACAATTCTCTGCAATGCTAAACCAGCTATATTTCCCGACTTTAAATGTTTGAAAAGTTTATATATCTTTATCAGCATAAGCCAATACATACATGAATAATACTGGATACCAGTATCGCCTGACAATTCCCATATAGGTACATCCATCATTTGCAGAGAATATATATATATATATATATATATATATATATATATAAACACAAATGTAAATTTACAAACAGAATCCAATTAAGAACATCCATTTCTTTCTTAAAGATAACTTCTTTCTTTTCTTTCATTTCTGTTTCACAGGACTGAGCGAGCCGAGGTCTTTCCTCCATTTTGTAGAAGTCTACCTTTCCAAAGCATCAGCCACTGAGTGTGACCAGCACTTGAGATTTCCCCACAGATTCCCAGCATGGAGAGAACTGCCATTTCTGCTTCACTGCTCTCCGTCTGCCTCGTTTTGGCTGTGTGTCGCTGTTCCCTGGCGGGTTCCTTCTGCCCGGCGCAGTGCGTTTGTGAAACCCGGCCGTGGTACACCCCTCAGTCGGTCTACCATCAAGCCAAGACTGTGGACTGCAATGAGCTCCACTTAAGCGCCATTCCACGGAATATAACTGCTGACACTCAGGTGCTGCTTCTCCAGAGCAACAACATCTCCATGGTGACCTCAGAGCTCCGGAGTCTCATCAACCTCACGGAGTTGGACCTTTCTCAGAATCACTTTACGCACATCCAAGATGTCGGATTGGGTAACTTAACCCAGCTAGTCACCCTTTACCTAGAGGAGAATCAGATTAAAGAACTTCCCGATTTCTGCCTGAAAGATTTAGTCAGCTTGGAGGAGCTTTATATAAACCACAACCAGATATCTTCGATTGGCCCAAATGCCTTCTCTGGCTTAGGGAGCTTGCTTAGGCTTCATCTCAACTCCAACAAACTGGTGGCTATTGACAGTCAATGGTTTGAGTCTCTGCCGAACCTCGAGATCCTCATGATAGGTGAGAACCCCATACTTGGACTGCAGGACATGAACTTCCACCCCCTTTCTAAACTGCACAGTCTGGTGCTGGCTGGCATGGGCCTCAGGGAAATACCTGCTGGAGCTTTTCAAGGACTGGAATATCTGGAGAGTCTTTCGTTTTTTGACAATAAGTTGACAGCCGTGCCCAAAGACGCCCTCCGCTCTCTACCAAACCTGAAGTTCCTCGACCTTAACAAGAATCCTATTGTCTCTATCCAGGAGGGTGATTTTCAGGACTTCCTCCACTTGGAGGAGCTCAGCATGAACAACATGGAGGAGCTGGTGGCTGTGGAGAGAGGCGCGTTTTCCAGTCTCCCGCAGATGGCCAAGTTGGAGGTTTACAACAACCCTCATCTGTCCTACATTGACCGTGCTGCTTTCCACAACATGGGTGGTTTGCGCACTTTGCTGGCCCACAACAATGACATCACCCTCCTCCCTCATGAGGTTTTAGCCTCTTTCCCCAACCTGGATGAGATAAGCCTACACAGCAACCCACTCAGGTGTGACTGCCTCTCAACCTGGGGGCCAGTCTTCGGTAACCAGTCGACTCTCAAGCTTTTGGAACCCCAGCTTACTCTGTGCGCCTCTCCTCCGCACCTGATTGGGCACTCACTCCAGGAAGTGGTGTCAACCAACTGGAACTTGGCCAGCAACACCTGTCTGCCACTCATATCCCTGCATGCATTCCCTCCTCAGCTTAACGTCACGGCTGGGCAGCCCTTGACACTGGACTGCTGGGCTGTGGCAGATCCTGTCCCTCAGTTCTACTGGGTGACCCCCACAGGTGACAAAGTAACTTCGGAGACTGCATCCACAGCACTGAACGAGGGAAGCGTGGGCGCTAAAAAGCACAGAATGCAAGATCAAGGTGCTCTGGAGATACTCCATGTTGAACCAGAGGATGCCGGTCTCTATACATGTGTGGCATGGAACGCAGAAGGTGCGGATACTCGGAGCGTGTCGGTATACGTGGACAAAAGCAACTGGCAAGATGATCGGCAGAGAGCAGGCCTGCAGTGGGGGGTGAACACCACAGGAGCTCTGGTTGTCTTGGCAAAAATCATCCATGCACAGTCTGTAGTACTGGAATGGAAAGTATACCCATCTGCCCCTGCCTCAGGCCGTGAGTTGCCGCAACCGAAGTGGCTCAGCGCCACTATAAAAATCGACAACCCTCAGATCAGCTACACAGCGAAAGTCCCTGTAGACGTCCAAGAATACAACCTCACTCACCTGCTGCCCTCCACGGAGTACCGAGTCTGCCTGACCATGTCGTCCGCGGAGCAGCAAACCCAGCATTCCTGCATCAATGTCACCACCAAAGAAGCCAGCTTTGCCGTGGAGATGGTCGCCCAACCGAGCAACGTTGCCTTGGCAGCGGTGATGGGCTCCATGTTCGCCATCTGTATCATGGCCCTGCTGGTGTTTTACATGGGTCGACGAATAAAGCAAAAGTCCTGTCACCACTCGCTGAAGAAGTACATGCAGCACGCCACCTCTATTCCCCTCAACGAGCTGTACCCTCCCCTCATCAATTTGTGGGAGAACGAAACGGAGAAAGAGAAGGACGGCTCCGTTGACCCCCAGAACTCACAGATAGACACCTCAAAGACGTACATGTGGTAGTTTCACGAGTTTCACAAGGAACGAGTAGAAAAAGACACTTCAAAGTATGTATGGTGCTGTACATAGATAAGTATGTAATTACTTACTAAGATGTCATTGTGGAAGATGTATTTTTAGATTGTATTACCTTCCCTGGCCGAAAACACTACTCGGCTGCAGTTGTGAAATGGTCGTGTACAGAGTAGATGAATTTTACAAGTGCCCAGCCAAACACCCCTGCAATAAGCTTTCTGAGAACAGTTTAACATTACGCATGCAAATATGTTGATTATTTGTATAATTTATTTGTCATATGAGCATCAATCTCCATCATAGATCTGAACCAAAATCTTCACACATTTCTTGCATGGAGTTCTTGCATGCTGTTTCGGTGCTCACAAAGTAATTCGTACCTTTGTTTTTCCTTCCTTCACTTCTAAAAATACACAGATGCGAGAAGCACGTGCACACATACACGGAAATATGCTCACTCTCACGGACACGTTCTCCCTCTGTATCTTAACACGCTGCATTTATTATCTCCTGTATTGTAATAACAATAAATCTCACTTGTCAGCTGTTGCGAAATCAGTGGTACCTGCAACTAATTAGCTGTCAAGCATAATTAATATTTGCTGCAGCAGCCACGCAGCTGTGTTTATTTGGCCTTGCACTTTTGAATATCTGTTGGAAGAAATTTCTGAATGTAGACGTTTATGTCACTATTGATCAATAACACTTTTCACTTATATGAATTCAATGAAGTATCATATAGAGGCCTACACAGTACTGTGCAAAAGTCAGAGACCACCTTTCATTTATCACATTTCTAGTTAAAATAGCCATTATATACAAGTTATTCATTTGTATCTTACATTCATAAGACGATCTCTTACATGTAATAAGAAGAGGAAGGAGAAATCAAAGGAAAGTAAATGGAAAAAACAGGGGTTTGCAAATCTAAATTTCAATAAATGGTGAAAAGATACTCAGAAAATGGACTGTAGGACCTGGTGGACCATCAAAACTGTCCCCATCAGATAAACAGCAGTTAAATCTTTCATCTTTGAAAGAGAGGAGAAAATCAAGCTGCTTCAGATCTGAAAACATCCAGGTGTTTCTGTCCATCCTTCCACTGTGAGAAGACAATTCAGCACTATGGGTCTGAAAGGATGTCTAGCTGTCCTGACTGAGAAAAGGAGACAGATACATCAAACAGTGGAGCTGCTGGTGCTCTCCGAATAATGGACTGACCAGCCTACTGTCCAGACCTCAACATCAGTGAATGTGTTTGGGATTACTTGGGTTATGAAAAGCAGAAAATGCAACCAGCTTCTAAGACTGAACTTTGGAGGTGTAAAAAAATATCCCTGCAGATTTCTTTAAAAAAATGAAAGCAAGTCTCCAGAAAAGAATGGAAGCTGTAATAAAGGGAAAGAGTTGACGCACTAAATACTGAAAATGCTGATATTATATTTAGTTGTTAAGCTTCTGTTTAGTGTTTTCAGCTCTTGATTAATGAATGAATGAAGGGTGGTCTCTGACTTTTGCACAGTACAGTGCATAATAGATGTAAAGCAGGCTTGTTTAAATTGCCTGTGTTTATGTATCCACAGTTTGTTCTGTTTTATACAGTGCAATCCGCAAGTAATTGGACAGCGTTCCATTTTTCACTGTCTAGTTATTTAAGGACTGCACTCTATATTGTGGTGCCGGAATATATTGAGCACCTTGTTACGTGGTTGACATTTTCATTACTGAGGACTGTTGAATTTTTCTCTTGCCACATTCAATATTCATTCTCCTTTAAACGGCATGATAGGTGTGATAGGTTAGATAACAGGATTTCGTCATGTGTGGATGTACGAAGAATGAAACCAGTAGTTAATTTTCCATTACATAGCATAATTCGTTTAGCCTCTCCAGCAAACAGTAAATAAATATTTCAGGCTGCAGATGGCCATTCAAAGAAAATAACCTGAAATATATCAAAGTGTATGGGTAACACAGCTTCATTCAGTCTGTATGGTCAGGACATGTTAGTGCACCAAGATGTTTGTATCATATATTTTCATCAATGCTAATAATACCACACAGTACACTGAGTTCATTATTTTAAAGGCATTCCAAACTGACAGCTAATAAATTAGTGATAAAACCAAAATAATTCAGCTCAGATCTGCAGGGATGTCGCTTATGTCTTTTGAATTTGTCATTTATTATTTGAACCAAAGATGAAACGACATGTATTCAAAGGACCTGTCATCATCAGATACAACCAAACGACATCTGTGTGCATTTTTAAATCTGAGTCGATGAGAAAGAAAAAAATGTTTCAATGCATTTGTATGTGTTTCATTGCATTTATTTTATTTATTATTCTAAGTAATATGAATGAATGCATACATTAATATTGATGTATTAAAAATCATCTTCATATTTATTTTATTATAGTGTTTTCAATAGCTTCTATTAAGAAATCACATATTTGAAGGTGTGTGTTACATTAACATTAATAAACGTAGTATCCTCACTTCAGTCCTATCAAAAAGAATGCAATATTCACTGATTACAGTTTGTCGTTTCGTTCTGTCTGTTCACCAGCCGTGTTTATGTGTTGGCTCCTGATCACTGAATTTCTTATCTTAGATTATTCAGAACAATGCCTGAAGTTTATTGCTACACACGTGCCCTCTGGTGGTGGAAGAGCTTGGTGACATGTTAGAATATTTGCTTTATATCTGTGAATAGCAGGGTATTTTGTAATAGAAGGAGAATATTGCTATATTTCGAGGTAGGTCAATACTACTTTTACACTGTTAAGGCGTGTTGGTCTGTGCTCAGTAGAAGAGAATTGACTGTATGCAGAAACATCGGAAAGAAATAAACACAAATATCATAGTCGCTGTGTCGTTTCTTAATTGGATTGTCCTGTTTCTGTCATGTGTCGTATATTTTATGTCTTTTCCCCTGATGTTCTGAAAAATAGGTTATTTTAAATGCTTTACTTATAATGTACTTAAAAATCTGTGTTTTTCAGGGATTTGTTGGCCTACTTCGATTTTTTTATTGTGGACATCTTAGCAATATAAACAACATTAAACAATGTTTTTCTCTGTAACTTTTTCTTAAAGAGCCCATATCTTACCTTTATCTTGTATTTTATTTTTTCCCTGAGGTCTGCGTATTAGGTCTCTGTGGGTTTATGTACCAAAACCAGTCATAATACATTTTTACATGACCAAACCTCAAACTTTTAGTATGTAAATCCATATATGTCCATATATTAACAGAAACTAAGCCACAACAACAGCCCATTTTGATTTCAGTGTTTTTGTGATGTCACAAAAAACATTAGGTTTACATATATCTGCTTATTCGGCCTACAGCAGTTTAGCCTTGGCCATTCACATTTAAGTTATAATGAGTACTTCAGGCCAGACTGAAGGCCTGAAACAAGGCACAATATTGGACAGCCAAACAGTACAGAGGTAATTTACATATGTCAGTCTGAAAGGCACAGCAGCAAAAACGGCCTGTTTAATTCTAAGAGATGAAGTGAACTTGGAAAATGGTCATATAAAAATTTCACTAAAGTACAAGAGAAATGTAAGATATGGGACCTTCAAATAGGCTGTTTTTATTACTGAGCCTTTAAGACTGATTTATGTAAATGATCGCCATCATTTCATAACTTTTTGTGACATCACAAAAGCAATTCAAGCTGGTTTTTGTACCACACAGACTGGGGAGTGAACGGCATGTTTTGAAAATTAAGCAATATTCACACACTCCATCAAAGTCTCATTTAAAAACAGATTAGATTATTTTTTTTGTCATTGTGCAGAGTACAGGTACAGAGCCAATGAAATGCATCTAACCAGAAGTGCTAAATACAGTATTATTTATATATAAAGTGCGAACAGAAGAGTGGTAAAAAAAATATAGATATGCAAGTATAAATATAAAATACATATGTACAGATTGAGTGGAGAGCGCACAAATATAGGTTGTATGTACTGTGAAAGCAGCATATGGATAAGGTAAGTATGCAGTGTAAACTTGTACAGTAACTCTAGGTGCAAATATGAATGGTGTAACAATACTAGGACATAAAGTGCAATAACAGTGCAGTGAGTGCAAAGAATGCAAAGTAAGTTCTCCATGACATTGGCCCTCATTGTCGGTCATTGTCGGTCAGTCACATTTTTGGTATTTATACATCTATGTGCATTACCACAGTTTGTCATAACTTCTGAACCAGAATCAGTCTTGGGCTGTGTGATGAGTTTATTACTACACTATGATTAACTATATACTTTTCTCTGTCTTTCAATGTGGCATTTTTTTCCGCACCATACTAAATGTAGCTGTTAGACATGAAGGGGTTAAAACACATCTGAGGCAACTTCTCAGTTGAAATAGGATCAGTTCTTTCACAGGACATGTGATGATATGCCCTTGGAGGCTGGTTCTAAATTTGTGCTTGTGTATTATGACAGTTTCTCAGCTCTGGTGCCGCTTTGCTTTTTTCACCTGCGCTGCACAGAATGATGCTCGCCTGCTCTTTTACACCTGATTCAGCTCCTGAAGGACTCGATCTGTGGCTGATGATGTGACTCAGTCGCTGGGGAAAAAAGCATTTTATAACTGGAGTTATAAAACATGGTACTGTGAAATTCTATGGGCCTGTGGTGTGTCCAACGAGCTCAGAATGAAAGACAGAAAGAGGAGGGAAATAAATGGATATGGGGAGGGAGAGAAAGAGTGTGCTGGAAAAAGAGAGAGAAGGCAAATTGCAAGATGGAGAAAGAGTGAAAATAAATAATGGAGACGGGAGAGATGAGGGAAAGAGACAATGAAAGATATACACACACACACATATACATATATATATATATATATATATATATATATATATATATCCATCCATCGACTAAACCGCTTATCCTTCTGGGTCGCGGTGGGGAGCTGGAGCCTATCCCAGCTGTCATTGGGCGGAAGGCAGGATACACCCTGGACAGGTCGCCAGTCCATCGCAGTATATATATATATATATATATATATATATATATATATATATAGTGAAATTCTATGGGCCTGTGGTGTGTCCAATGAGTTCAGAATAAAAGACAGAAAGAGGAGGGAAATAAATGGGTATGGGGAGGGAGAGAAAGAAAGTGCTGAAAAAAGAGAGTAAAGACAAATTGTGAGATGGAGAAAGAGTGAAAAGAAATAATAGAGACGTAAGGATATATATATATATACACATATACATACATACATACATATCACTCCATTTCTCTTTCACTCTTATATGTATATTATATATTCCTACATATTTACAGAATGAGAAATGCGAGTATATATATATATATATATATAGAGAGAGAGAGAGAGAGAGAGAGAGAGAGAGATAAAATCAAGAGGGACGAAAGGGAAAAATGAGAGAAAGACTACAAGCAAATAAAAAGGAGAGAGAGAGAGAGAGAGATGAGAACATAATACTGAGACTGCAACAAAGGAAGTGACGTCGCCGTGTCGTAACTCCTGTGTTGATGTTGTGTGGAGAGTGAGCGGAGGGGAAGAAGCTAACAACAGCAGCGGCGACTCGGTTTGTTTTTGTTCTCTCCACGCCGCCTTTTACCGAGAAAACGACTCCTTATTTCACCAAAAACGTCCAGGGACGAGCACTTAGGCCAGAGACGACGGCCAGGCTGAAACACGGCCAGCTCACAACACTCCCCGAGCCGAGCCGGAGGACTCGTCACCCCTGACCCCCTCCTCCCTCCTCCCTCCCTTCCCTCCTCACATAGGCAGCCAACATGACGATCCTGCCTAAGAAGAAGCCCAGCTCCACCGTCGGGGTCCCGGATCACGCCGACGAGAGCGACAGACGAGCCGGTTCGGATCCTCACCAGCACGGCCATGGTGTTGTGCGGACCGGGGCGAGGCCTAGAGCTTCTCCGCCGCCGTGGTCATATCAAACCGCGCCGCCTCAGTCCAGAGAGGACAGGCGGAATGAATCGAGCTCCCGGCCCCAGCAGGCCTCCCCTCCGCCGGTGGGAGCGGGCTCCCCCGCCGGCCCGGGAGATGGAGGCGGTCTGGGAGCCATGAGCTGCGTGTCCGGTGGCCGTGGAGAGCTAGCGGGCGGCGTGGTCGGCTGCGGAGGCGCTATCGGTAGCTGCTGCTCTGGGCCGGGACTCAGCAAGCGGCGGCGACAGGCGACTTGCTCCGGAGGAGTAGCAGGCGGAGGGACACCCGGTGTGTCCGGTGGTGGCGGGGTGGGTCCAGGCCCAGATCAGGAGGAGGGCGCCGGGTACAACAGCGAAGATGAGTACGAGAATGCTTCCAGACTGCAGTCAGAAGATCCAGCAACAGTTGAGCAGGTATGTATGGACGGTATGGAGATGTCAACACAAAACAAAACAAAGTCTGTGAAAGAAAGTTGGCCTTAAAGTTGCACTGTCAAAGATAGAGGAGCTTAAATGTTTTGTATGAATGAAGAAGAACTTTAAAAATGTTGAACCAAAGAATCATCCATTGAAAGGTTCTTTAGGGAGTCTGGAGTGGTTCTTCTATGGCATTGCTCCAAATAACTCTGGAAGAAAAGACCTTTGATTCTTAGTTAAGGCATTTGTTTAATATTGAGCAGGGATGTTTTTTATAATCTTCAAGCTAGCTTTTACAGCATATGTAACAGCTAACATGGGAATGAATGAGTTCAAGCAGCAAAACAAATCATAATTTAATAACAATAAAAACAGCAAATATCTGCAGTGATTTGCTGGTCATGGTCGTGGTTTCAATAATATGGCATAAGGGATTAAAATAAAGGCTTTAACCAATCTGCTGATGATAGCAGTTGATTTTGCAAGTTTGCTCATCTTGTCTCTCTATGTTGAACTGGTACATAGTGGAAGTCTTCCAAAGCAGTAGTTCTCACACCGGTCCTCAGGTCACCTGAAATGGTCCATACTTTTGCTCAGTCCCAGCTTGGATAGAGCAAAAGTGTGCCTGAGGACCAGTTTGCGAACTATTGTTTAACGCCTTCTTGGGGGGGTCACTTAAAATAAAAATCTGACAGAGAATGGCAGTGGTGACAACCATCTGAAGACAAATGAATGAATGGCATGGTTATCTTTGCTGTTCTTTGCTTAAGCTGTTAAAAATAAGCAACACTGGAAACACATCGCTATAACTTTATAATACTTTAAAAACTTCAGGCTTTGCTGTTTCCTCAGTTTTGACATGTGCATGTGTGACAATGGTGTGCAAAGTAGAAGTACATCTTCCGCTCTTTTGGTTCAACTGCATAGAAAACCTTAAGGCCTAGCCATTCTAAATTGTGTCTGTGATTTGTATTTAAATAAAGATGAATTATTAGTGTACAGCATTTCCAAGTAAACCTACCATTCAAGGCTGTTTTCGTGGACTGGCAAATACAGTGGAATGGAGACTTTTATTATGACAGCACACTGACAAGGAAGTGAAGGAGCTAACTGTAACTGTCCTCCTCATTCATGAAATCAGAAATAATTACATGTATTTTTGGTAAAATATGACAACTGAATTCATCAGAGTGTTAAGTGGGATGGCCTAAAACAATTTTTGCTACCCAGTGAGGTTAACTAGCTGTAAAATGCCCTTTGCAGTAGTTAGGTTAGCATTAGCTTAGCTTCTGGTAGATAGTGGCACATCCGGCGCTGTGGTCATGTCCTACTTTTGAATATCAGTGAATAAAGTCTAGTTATTTGTTTGGCTGGTTTGGCTTCCCACCCAAACCAACAAGTTTCCCATTTGCTTAAAAGAAAATTCCACCAGTTTTTCAGTTTTTGGATAATTAAATGGCTAAGATGTAAACAGAGTCATTCAGAGTGGTTTGTTGTGAAATGTTCCAGGAACGTCCGGAGTCAGAATTGTTCACAGTGGTGGTGATAGGAACCAAACGTCCGAAGTGTTTAATGTCTTCCCTCACAGAAAGTTATTGCATGAAATGGTTATGAATATGTCCGATAACTGATCTGAGTCTTAAAATAAGGCTTTGTCCTAAAATGTGTTATGTTTTTAAATCCATTTATGCCAGAGATGTACATGCGTGGCATTGTAAGGCAAAATAGCCTTACTTTTACTTTTAGATGGTAGATAAAGTATATATTTATGTAATATTTGTGTTGTGTTTGGTTCCTATTACTATCACTGTAAAGAAAATCTGAGTCTAAGCTTCTGTAAAATGACCTATTGTACATCAATCATACATAAACATTTCACACAACTCTGAATGACATTTACGTCAGAGTGATTGAATTATGCAGATTGATACAGTTTTGGTATCAATCACAATACTTCATATAGGATTGGAAAGCCCAGTGGTTATAGGGTTGAACACATGCAAACGGTTACAGCTTAACATTACAGACAAAATATTACATTACTTCAGAATAGAGCTAGCCTATAAAAGGGCCTGTATAAATCATACTTTCTTCTTTTTTTGCATAAAAAACAGTCACAGTTTGTTTTTACATGACCATTTTTCAACTTCTCTTATCTCTGAGAATTAAACAGTTTGTTTTACTTACTGTGCCTTTAAGACTCATGTATTTAAATCAGCTCTTTTCTTATTAGCTGTCCTGTGTTGTGCATTCAGGAAGCAGTCTTGGTTAAAACACTTCTTAACTTGACTTAACTACACTTCCTTAACTTAAGTGTGAATGGGTGAAGGCTAAAAACATGGACAGATATAAATGTGTTGGTGACATAAATTTAAATGGGTTGGTTTTGCAGCTTGATTTCCATAAATGGACCGTATGGACTGGCAAGTGAAACTGTTGAAAGTTAAAGTATTAAATTGTTTACCATCTTGTAATATTGGCAACAGTATTGAACTTTCAATACAACTGTATCATATCAAGGCTGTGTAGGGCCATCAAACAGACTAAAATAAATAAAATAAAAATAAAGTAGTAAAATAAAAGCAAACATCCAAACTTACACTCTTCATTGCTCAGTTAAAGAAGCCATTCTTGCAGTGTTTATATGTGTATGGACAGTGGCTCCTGTAAGGTTCTCTACTGAAATAGCATGTCTCTCTCTCACAAGCTCTCCTTCTCCCTTTGTTTCTCTGTTTTGTGTTGCAGCAGGAGCACTGGTTCGAGAAAGCACTTAGGGAAAAGAAAGGATTTGTGATTAAAAAAATGAAGGAAGACGGTGCTTGCCTCTTCAGAGCAGTTGGTGGGTCTTTTCTGTAACTTTCTAAATATAAAATCACTTTTAGTTCACAGGGTACATGGCAAATGGCCTCAAAACGGTGCTTCACATGACCTCTTGATCAGTATCTTTATCCAGGCTCAAGCCTTTTTAATTGAGGAGTGGAACTTAAGAAGGAGGGTGCCTGCAACCAAATCAGTTGTAAAGGGGGATTCCACTAATATTTCAAATAGTCTATATAATTAAATGGTTAAGATGTAAACGGTGAATCAAAATTGTTCTAAGCAGGAAATGCTCTGTTCTAGAGAAACTCAGAATAAGAATTGTTCAGTAATGCTAGGAACCAGACGTCTGAAGTAGTTAAAGTCTTTAAACGCTCCTTCACAGAAACTTATTACATTAAATGGTTATAAATACACTGCCTGTTACCCAAGTTATTGTTTTAAGATAGTCCTGAAATAAAGTTTTGGCATAAATAATTTTTTACAGTTTTAATTTTGTTTTTTTAAGTTTTATATTTTTAAGATTATTATGTTAGAAAGGTGCATGCAGGGTGTTCTAACGCAAAACAGTCTCAAAAGAGACCTTTTTTCCCCAAATTTATCACTGTTTTACCGTAAACATTGCATATAAAAACTCAGAAGACGTGTGGGTTCACTGGGTGATTTTGGGTAGTATATAAAATGGCTGTATTTGTGTTCTAAAGATTGTGACCTGGTTTCTATCGCCACCAGTATAAAGTAATCAGAGTTGATAAATTTTACATCAAACCGCTCAGACTTTGTTCACATCTCAACGATTAAAATATATGTAGAAGTTTTGAAACAGTTCCCCTTTAATGCTGTTCACAATAACAGTTGTGTTCTATGCAACAGTTTTACAAATTAAAGAAAAAAATAAAGTAAAGAAGCTCCAGACATTGTTTTAAATATATGTTGTTAATAGTGAAAATGCAGCTTAGAGGAGCAACCGTTGTTCTTGGTTAGCAGCTGATGTTCCATACAGGTATAGGGAAATCAGATATAACATGAGTAAAGCACTTTTCTGCCAATTAAATTGCGTAATTGGAACTAACTGTTGAACAATATACTATAGACCTCTGAATCTGTATGTCATTCTGTAGTCTGCAGTGGGGCTGTTGGTTTCAGTGTTTCACAGAATACATGGCTTTTTTTCATAATTGACTGATAATCTCATGATGTTGACTGTTTTGCTCACCGCACACATTTTCACTTAGGCAGTCTGTTTTAGCTTATAATGACAATGGGATATAATTGGGCTCAGGGATTTTATGGTAAGGTCATTATCAAATATATATTTTAAAATTAGCTTTCAATTTTTTTGATAATTACAAAAATAGTTTTTTATAGCCTGTAATTCTATCTGTTGTCTCTAAAAGATAGCAGTGCTTATTAAAGTGATAACGTGTGTGTGTGTGTGTGTGTGTGTGTGTGTGTGTGTGTGTGTGTGTGTGTGTGTATCGCTGTTATCGGTGTGTGTGTGTGTGTGTGTGTGTGTGTATCGCTGTTATCGGAAGAAAAATCTCCATTTTTGACGTTTTAGAGTTTTTGACATAATTTGAAAATACATGTCCTTTACATTGTATGTAAATTTCATGACGAACAGACTAAAAGAATTTACCCAAATTCCATTGACTTACATTAAAAGTAAAGTAGGTTTTTTCCTTCTCCTGTAAAGTTACCGTTTTGGAGATCCGAGGTTTCCTTCCAACACCGTGAGATGTGTTTCTAATATATATAGTTCACATCTTGTGTTTACTTTTACATAGATATAGACTTTGTAAACAAAAAGTCAGTATTTATGTAAAAGTTAACAAAAGATGTGAACTATAAGGCTACATCACAATATTAAATGACCTTTGTGTTTCTATGTAAAATGTGGCTCTGACCTTCTGCCTGAAATGAGTGGGGAAGGACTTTCTAATGTGGCTCTGCTGAATAGAAGGTCGGATCGGTAGCTGTTTACATCCTTACGTAACGAGTCATCTGTTTCGCCCGTTTAGAATTAACGCTAAGCGACTGCTTGACTCCAGTGGGAGAAGCAGCTGCTGAGATTCGTGTTTTCTCCATTAGACTGAAGTTGGCTTCCTACGCGTCAGATTCTTATTAAAATTTTCTGTTCCACTTTAAATGGAGAAGCAGTGACGTATAGTGGAACAGAAAATTCAAATAAGAAGCTGGCTAACTTCAGCTTCGCGTTTTCCCCTCGCTTCAGAAACCGACACATTTGAGTGATGTCTTAACCAATTAGTTAGCATAGTTGAGGTATTAACGTGGGTGCTTGATCCTCATATTGAGCCATTTTTGTCACACTGTTACTGTTCGATCTGTATCACCCTTTCATCATTGATCATCAGCCTATTATCATTGAATTCGACTAAAACAGTGGGTGGAATCCAGCTCAAGCTCACTCTCTTAGCTTGCCGTTTCAGACAGCATGGCTATATAAGGACCTCTGGCTCCAAGCTATTTTTCTCTCTGGGAAGGATTTCAGCTACTGAACCACATGGTAAACAAAAGTATTCCAAATCCTGAACGATTTGCCCAGTGTGCACACTTTAATATCTCTCAAATGCCATTGGATCTTTTGCATTATTATCCTTTGAGTTTCATCCACTCTAAAAGTGAGGTAACACTCCTACATATTAAAATGCTGATGCAAGAAATAAAGTTTAGCTCTGTAATTCTATTTTTACCTATTTTTAATACCTGCTGCTCAAATTAAAGGCTTCTACTGCCACACCACTCATTTTTCCACTCAGATCTGGAGTTCTACAGAATGACAACACGAGTTCAGAGGTCTACAATCAATTTCTTACATAAATAATCCTCTGAAATGAAAGTGTAGCCTTGTATTATGAGGATGGGGTTTAGGTAAAAATGTAGTGACCAACAGAAAAGATCTGCTAATAATAAAAATGCCAATTATCAGAGCTCTCATTGAAACAACAAGCTCTTGGACCGGCATCTTACTTTGTATCCTTACGTACTTTTTTCAAGGAATTACAAAGAGTGTCTTTGTTAAAGGAATACGCCACAGTTTTTCTGCCTAATTTCAATCTGCCACATCTGTATCCTGTGAAATATTAACACATTTGCATCCATTGACTTAAAACGAATTAGGCATGTACTGAATTCCCATGAATCAGCGACTGAAATGTGTAACTATAGAAAACAAATTTGAAACGACAGCTGTTGCACTCAGACGTTAAAGTCTTTGTTAATAAGACAGACATGAGATTGTCTTACCAAAGCTCTGCTTATGAAATTTTATCTACTTTCGATCACTGGAGCAACAATAAAAAGCAGTTTCGGTTACTTTTGCTTTCCCCAAGGTATTTTGGTATCCAAGGTGATTAAACGGAGCCTGTGAAAACTCCACCCACTGCGCCAGTAACAAATTACCCCACAAAACAAATAATTTAGACTTACGGTGTAGGAACGCTTTTGATTTGAAGAATTTATGAAACTGTTCCACAAAATGTTTCACATGAACATTTACTAGAATTTGGCAATTGCTCAGTTACTTTTATCTAACTGTGCTTTATGTCCATCTGTTTCTGTTCTTTTACTAAGTACAGGGAAAAGTATTGATACTATTGTCCACGGTAGTTAATTATCGTCACTGTCGGGACAAAATTTTGTATCTGCAAAATATAAACATTTTGAGGAGATGAAAAAGAACTTTGAATGGAGTTTTTAAAGTCCTTTTTAAAGTGGCTTTTTATTCATTTCTATTGATCCATTCATCATTTAAACTTTGTCAACAGTGTAAAGAATGTAAATAACAATGGTTTTAGCTTTTTTTTCAAACTCTGAAGAAATAAAAGGGTCAGGATTTTCCCAACAGCACTGATTATGCTACAGAGGCAGCAGATATAGATTAGGTAAAAAAGCTGTGGTATTCCTTTTGTAAATGACATTAATGTGAAGCAGGCATATGCACTGAAAAAAGTGTTTGGGTTTACATGATTCCAACTTGTACATTGGTTTCACATGAATAAAATACACCAACACAATGAAATACATCAACAATAAATGAATGAGTGGTTATGTCACTGTAATAAATTTAATTTGTGTGGAACCAATGTACACATTTCAATCAAGCAAATTCAAAGCAGTGTTTTTTTTTTTCTTCAGTGTAAGATGTTCTGCAAACAGGTGGTTGTTGAATTGCATGGATAGGTGTTGCATGTACCATTTGTGCACACTTGATGGCGCTACTAACCCACACGTGGAGAAACCTCCTCCCCCAGGCGGAGGAACTTTAGCATCAAAACAATAACCTCCCACAGCTGAGCTACTGTTCAACCCACTTCCCTTCAAAACCGCAATTTCATCACGAGTCTATTTTTCACGATCGAGCTCATTTCCGTGTTATTATTATTGTGAGCCAGGGATTTTCCCTGTAAAGTGGTAAATTCCTCATTATGGGACCGAAAATAAATGACATTTAAATACATTTCTAGTTTTAACACTGCATGCTTTTTTTCCACTGTGTGTGTTTTGTATTTATGCATATAGTCATGCAATATACATCCCATCCAAATGCTTACATGTGTGCTACCATACAAAAGTTTGGATTACTTTTTGTATTAATAATTATTTAATAATAACTTACAACAGAACTTACACAATGATAACTTACAATTATGTTATAAATAGACACCAAAATGTAAACTGATGGTTTGTGTACAGTTTAAAGTGTTTTGGGAACAAGTTATGACATGATGGAGAAAAAATAGCAAGTGTTAATAATAATAAATTGTCTTTTTATAGACATTTTTGAAACAAAATTACAATGAATAGCTATTCAACTAACTTTTTTTTTAAATATGAGGAATTCTGGATATACATTTTTGCTGTACAGTTGTATGCAAAAGTTTGCACACCCCTGGTTAAAGTTACATGGCTTGTTTATTTTGTTGAAGTACACGAGTTTAACAAGACATGCCATAAATTTTGCAAACATTTATTCCATGTTTATTTGTGTTTCATGTTAAT